GTCACCGTCACCGTCACCTCCCGTGACAGCTCCAGCTACCGTGAGTGTGGCCACGGGGTGAGGGAGGACGCCGGGGGCAGATGGGCGGCATGGGCGACCCCGGTGGCTTCCCTGTCCCTTTGTCCCCGCAGGTCTGCAGAGCCCCATCATCTCCATCGACCCGCACAGCATGGCGGTGGCGCCGGGCGAGGATGCCACCTTCAAGTGCCGCGTCCATGATGGTGCCCGGCCCGTCAACGTCACTTGGCGGATGGGACCTGGCCAACATCTCCAAGGTATGGTGGTCCCCAGGGTGGCCCCGGTGTGGTCCCCAGGGTGGTCCTGGTGTTGACGGTTCCTCCTTGTCCAGACAACGTGAAGATCAGCACCAACGGCTCGGTCATCTCCATCACCGGTGCCCATGTGGGCAACCAGGGTGCCTACCACTGCGTGGCCTCCAACCGCTTCGGCGTCGCCAGCAGCGTCGTCAACCTCCTGGTGCAAGGTGCGAGGTGGCCGGGGTGTCCCGGTCCCCATCTGCATGGGCTCCAGACGCCCCTGAGATGGTGGCCTCCCCATCGCCATCCCCATGTTGGTGTCCCCCATGTGTTCTAGATCCCCCCTGGGGTGGTGGTGTCCCCATCCCCGTGCCCTCCATGTGCTCCAGGTGCCCCCGGGGTGGCAGTGTCCCCATCACCATGCCCATGTTTGCGTTCCCCATGTGCTCCAGGTGCCCCTGGAGTGGTGCTGTCCCTGTCCCCATGCCCTCCATGTGCTCCAGGTGCTCCCGGGCTGGTGGTATCCCCAGCCCCATGTCCTCCATGTGCTTCAGGTGATCCCAGGGGAGTGGTGTCCCTGTCCCCATGCTGATGTCCTCCATGTCCTCCAGGTGCCCCTGGGGTTGTGATGTCCCCAAGCCCCATGCTGATGTCCTCCACGTGCTCCAGATGTTCCTGGGGTGGTGGTGTCCCCATCCCCATCCTGATGTCCTTCCCATGCTCCAGATGCCCCCAGGGTGATGGTGTCCCCATCGCCATGCCAACGTCCTTAGTGGTGGTGTCCCCACGCTGATGTCCTCCCCCTTCTCCAGGTGCCCCCACGGTGTCGGTGATGCCACCAGGCCCCGTGACGGTGAAGGAGGGCAAATCCCTCAGCCTGGAGTGC